AAAAGTCGGCGCGTCGGCGAGGTGGGGTGGGGGGGGAGGGTGGGGGGAGTTCGCAGAGGCCCGGAGGTTTGGAAGTCGGCAAAGGGGGGGGGGGGGGGGGAGTTCGCAGAGGTCCGGAATCGGCAAAGGGGGGGGGGGGGGCGCAGAGGTCCGGGCGTCGGCGGGGGGAGGGCGCGGGGGACTTTGCAAAAATCCGGACATCGGCAGGGCAACTGAGACGTCAGAATGTCATGCGAGACGCTGCGAGACCCGCGTTTGAGCTCGAGACTTCTTCCGAGCCATCGAGACCTCTGTCGAGACTTCCCTCGAGGCGGCGAGACCTCTTTCGAGACCTGTTCGGAAACGGCGAGACCTCTTTCGAGACCTCTTCGGAAACGGCGAGACCTCTTTCGAGACCTCTTTCGAGACCCCCCTCGAAACGTCGAGACCTCTTTCGAGACGTCGAGACCTCTTTCGAGACGTCGAGACCTCTTTCGAGACCCCCCTCGAAACGTCGAGACCTTTTCCGAGACGTCGAGACTTTTCGCAGCAGTGTCGGCAGCGCTCGCGTCGAGACTTGTTTTGAGACAACGCTCGTACTTCGTATCGATTTCCCCATCGCACTGGACGTTGGCGTCTGCGTTGTGGAAATCGTTGGGATCGCGGAGGCGCGCTCGGACTCCCGTTCGAGATCTCGTTGTGAAAAACGTTGAACAGAATGGGGTGCGCCGCGAGAAACGTTGCGGACTTGCCAGTGCGCGAGAGAAGGCGCTGAGCGCCGGGGGGGGCGCGCTGGACACGGGCGCGCGGCGAGGAGAAGGGCGCGAGGAAGCGCCCCGAGAAAACCGCGCGCTGGAAGAAACGCGGCGAGAATGCGCTGCTGGGGGAGGCCCTCGAGGCGCGAGACAGCGCGGCAGGAAAAGCGAGCAACTGCGGGGGGGGAAAGCGCGGCCGCGGAACGCTCGGCCCCCACGCCTCCGCGCGCCCCCCCCCCCCCCCACCCACCCACCCACCCACGCCCCGCCCTCCCGCGAGCGGGGCGCAGGGGGGGGCACGGGGCGCGAGGGGACGCGCGGCAGTGGCAGATGGCAAACGGCCACGGCCAAGGGCGAACGCGCCTCGCCACAGACATCAGCGGCGAACGCTCGTTGAAGCAACTTAACTTGCAAACATTCAACGTTCGCAAAGCCAGCGCGCACGGCGCGGCAAACAAACAACAAAGAACATAAATCAGCGCGCAACGCAGGCCGTGCCGAAGTGGCCCACCGCAAGCCCGACCAAAGAAATTCGCGGCGCCGCCGTCGTCTTGGCCCTTGGCCCAAGGCCCTTGGCCGCCCGCCGAGGCCGCGTCGGCGTCGCCCGCTCGCGGCGCTGGGCGCGCGGCGGCCCTCGCTTGCTGCTGCGTCGATGGCGAGCCACCGCAAGCCTTTGCGCATGCCGCGCGGGCTGGGGCAAGGCTGGGTTCGACAGCAAGGACGGCGCAGCCTGACATCCGCGGCGGTTGCCGCCTTCCTCCCCCCTCCCCCCCATCCCCCCCCCTTCTACTCCTCGTCGCGTCCTCCTTCGCGGTGCCCACGCTTTGTCGTTTGAGTTGTGAACTTCGACTTCGAACTGGAGACTGGAGTGACTGGAGAATGCAAAAACAACGGGGCCCCGTTGACGACGGTGGATGGACTTGCGGACGCGCGATGCGACGACGCCCACGCGAATTTCGGCATTGGCATAAGTCCAGACGCACACAGTCATGAGGGATCGTGGATTGCGTCGCGGGCAGATGATACGGGACAATGGCTAATGGGCGACGCAGGCCAAGCGCTGAGCGATGCGTTCAACGTCGGGAACGCGCCGCCGATGCCTCCGAGGCGAGGCTCGGAGCCCCACCGAGGCGGTGGCGGTGGAGCGCTTTGGCGCTGGCCGCTGGCCCCGTTGGCTCGCGCCGACGCTGCCGCAAGCGCCCCAGATGCAGCGGGCGGCGCATCGCGCTCCGACGTCAGGTGTTCGCGCGCGCGGGCCCCAGGCGCCCGCGACAAGGCCCTCGCCCGCCCCGAACGGCCCGAACGCGACCTGGCAGCCACCCGGCACTTGGACGCCGCCGCGGGCTGCGGCCATCAAGCGCATGCGGCGTCTCAGTCCGCTGGCCCCGCCGGCTCTGCCGCGGGCGCCTCCGCCGGCGCCCGTCGCTGGCGCTATCGTCGCGCTTCCTCGGCGTCGCTTGGCGACCGAGTAGATGCCCGCCGCGCGATCGAAGAGTCGCGCCATGGCATCTAACAGACGGAGAACGACTATTATGATGGACTAAGGCGATTACGACAACGGCGGCGCCGACGATTTCGCTGCGAGCGGCGAACACAAGGACAGCGCTCGCGACGAACGAAAACGGACACGACGACCACGATTACTACGACGAACGCGACGGCCTCCTCTTCCTTCGCGATCGGCGCCGCCGGCGTTGCGAGAAAACCGCGCAGGCAAGGCCGCCCGACGACCCGCGTCGGAAGGCCCTCCCGGGCCGGCGGCGGGCAGCGGAATGGCAGCTTGAATTTCGCGATTGCGCATTGCGTTGCACGCGTCGCAATGTGCAGTGCAATATGCAGACCACGATCTATATGCAGCGTGCCATGAATAGTTGCACGCATGTTCACCAATGAGTTGTTGCTTGCGCATCTATAGATCTACAAATTCTTACACGCGCACATTTATCATTCCCGCCAGGCAAGTTAGGCACATGTGTTGGCGCGGCGCGGCACTACGACCACGGCGCTGCCGCTCGCGCTTCAAGGGCAGCCAGAGGCCACGCGACGCCGCCCATCTGAGGTCTGACCACAGGCCCCCCGGCGGCTTCCACTGGGCAGCCCTCGGACGAGTGAGACCGCGCAACTTCGAGCCACGCGCAAGGGCGGTGGAACGCAAGCTGGACCGCGCCCACGCGGGGCCCCAACCACAATATTAGACTCATTAGACGCAGTGTAACGCCACTAGGCTACTAGGTCCTAGGTATTGCGCAACAAGGTGCCAAGGCATTGGTTGACGATAGGCAACTAGAGTACGATGGTGCCTGCGCGCAATGCATTCTGCAACTGCGCACTGGGGTACTATGCACTACGCATTCGGGCCTCGGGCATTACGGGGGGGCAGTGAAGTGGGGGGTGCGAGGCAGCGGGGGGGAAGAGAAAGAGGGCCAGTGGGGGGAGGAGGGGGAGGGGGGAGGGAGGAGGGAGGGGGGGGGGCGGGAGGGGGGGGGAGAGGGGGGGAGGACCCGGGGAGGAGGAAGGGGGGGGGGAGGGAGGAAGGGAGGAGGAAGGGAAGGGGAGGAGGGAGAGGGGCGTCGGTGAGATCGGCCGCCGGTCGAAACGGCCACTTGGTAGCCGGGGGGCGAAGACTATGAGGAAGGAGGGCGGGACGGGGGAAACGGAGGTGGAAGAAAGAAAAGGAAATCAGAGGAGAGGAGAAGCGGGGCGATGAGGGACGACGGGGGGCGAAGGAGGGAAGGGGGAGAGGGGGAATGGGGAAGGGTGCGAGGAAGGAGGTGGGAGGAGGTGGAGTGGGGGTGGGGGGTGGAACTCCCCCCTCCTCCTTCTCCTCCCTCCTTGCCCCCCCTCCTCCCTCTTGCCTCGCCCTCCCTCCTTCCGCCTCGAAGGCCTCGACCTCGCCTTCTATCCCCCCCCCCCTCGCGTCGCTGGGGGCAGCTGGCGACGTCCACCTCGCCCGCGCCTTCTATCCACCCCCCGTCGCCCGCCCTCGAGGCCCTCGGCCACGGTGGCAGCGCTGGAAAGACGGCGGCGAGACAACGGCGGCCCTCGCCCCCCAGGGGCCCAGTTCGGTCAAGGTCCTGGTCCGAGGTATCAAGAACACCAGTTTCCCCGAGCCGCGCCCAGCCGCGGCGGCGCAGGGCGCCCTGGAACGCCGAGGTCCTCCGGCCAGAAAGCATCGAACCTCGATCTTTGACCCGTCAGGCATTGTTCTCAACGGGCCATCCTCCGATTCGGCTGCGGGCGCCGTTGGCGCCTGGGCCCCTTGCTCACCCAGCCGATCTGTCTGTCTAACGCTGAGGTCGCGGCACCCCGCAACCCATGACCCCAAGACCCCCAAGCCGCCCAAGCCCCAAACCCAGAGAGAACCCCCGAGGCTCGGGCCCCAAAAGCCAGGAGCCAAGAAGGGCCCCAGAACTCAGGACTGCCCGAAGACCCAAAGAACCCCTAGGCCCTAGGGCCTTAGGAACGGCCCAAGAGCCAAGGGCCAAGAGCCAATCTGACCCCAAGCGCCCATTTGTCACGCCTCTGGCATCTGAGTGGGAAAGGGGTCGAAGCAATGCCTCCCTTTTCGTTGATTGATCGATAGTCGATGGCCTCCAAGACTCCAAGATAGCAATAGACCATTCAGCACTATGCAGCACTATGCCGCTATGCCACTATGCCACTATGCCCTACGACCCTACGAGGCACGATGCACGAAGCCAACCAGGGCCCGGAGGAGGCCTCCAGAAGGCCCCACGACTTACGACCTCATAAATCACGAGATCCTAAGATTGGCACACTAAGGCCCACATGGCATCCAAACTGAACTTGAACCCATCCTCCACACAACTCCTAGGTTCTAAGCACGGGGGGTCATTGATTGGCTCGTGGGGGCGCGCAAAACGCCACGCGGCCAAACGCTCGGAGCCAGAGGCCAAATCGGCTACACGCAGGAGTGACCCTGGGTAATAGTGACCTTTGGTGCGCGGCTTCTGGGGGGCCGGGGGGGGGGGGCCAAACCCGGGCGCGCGAGCCATTATTCCTGCTGCGTTTCCAGCCATCTGGGGGCCCATCTGCGCCCGCGCCAAAGGTCACTCGGGCGAAAGGTCACTCTTACGTCGATCAAAGTCGAGAGTCTCGAGAATCAGGAAAACGAAGAAACTGCAAGTGGGCCCGGGCCCGAAGTGGCGAGCCTCTTCGAGCTTGGCGTCCAACTCAGGGCCTTCGCGCATGATGACATCCTTCCAGCGCGCAGGGGGGGGCAGACCTCCGGGTAGAGCGCACCACCCTGATCAGGTCGATGATGCTGCTGATGTCGGCCTGGGAGTGGGCGCGGGACTCCAACCCCACGATGAAGAACCTGGGGCAGGCGGCCGCGCGGAGGGGGGGCGGGCCAACCGAGGGCATCAGGGGAAGAGAGGGCAGGGAGAGAGGGAGGAGGGGCGACGAGTAGCAGAAGGGGAAGCGGGAGTAGGAGGAGGACAAGAGGAGGAGGAGGAGGAGGAGGAGGAGGAGGAGGAGGAGGAGGAGGTGCAAGAGGAAAGAAGAGGAGCAAAGGAGGGGAACGAGGAAGTGAAGGGGAAAGGGGGGGGGGGGAAGGAGGGGGGGGGGAGGTGGATGGGTGGAGGGCAGGGTGAAGGAGGAGGAAGGAGGAGGAGGAGGAGGAGGAGGAGGAGGAGGAAGAGGAGGAGGAGGAGGAGGGGGAGGGGGAGGGGGAGGGGGGGGGATGATGAGGGGGTCTACCCCTGCCCCCATACCCCTCAAGAGAGCGGCGCTATTCAGCGCCTGTCACCTGTCGCGCAAGGCGCAATCGACCCAGGGGGCGAGGTCCTCGGAGTACGACTGGAAGACGTAGCCGCCGAGCTTCTTGAGCTGGTCCAAGAAGTCCTCGAGCGGGGTCCTGAGGCCGCCCTTTCCCTTGTTCATGCCAGTGACGTTCTCGAGCAAGAACGCGACAGGGCGCATCTCCTGGATGCATTTCCGGACGGCCTCCCCGGTCGAGTACTTCGGGTGAGAGTGCACCCCGCCTCTGGCAAACCTCTCCCTGGATCTAGCCGTCGTGAACGGCTGGCAAGGGAAGCCTGAGACCAGGAGATCTGGTCGGCCCCCAGGAAGAGACTTCGCGATTCTCTGCCAATGAATGGGCTCGTTCTTCATGGCGCACCTGGGGTCGTCGGCTCTGGAGAGGGAGCCCATGGAACCAATCAAGTCGTAGATGTCGGGACAGAAATACTCGGGCTTCTGCGAGTGAAAGCTGTCCGTCTCGCACTGGATGAAGAAAGCGTTCTTCTTGATATCTGAGCTCAGAACCGTCTTGTGCTCGATGCCGAGTTGGCGAAGGCAGAAAGCCTCTGTGCCGAGACCGCTGCACAAAGACACCACCGTGAGGGGCCTCATCTGCTCGCCCCGCTTGATGCGCAAATCAGAAGCTGCCTGGACGAAGCCGGGCCAGTCACTCAGGTCCAAGGTCTTGAGAGACCTCCTCTTGGAAGGAGCCTGGGCCCCCACGGCGACCCCGCTGTCGAACTTGCACGTCGCAGAGGAGTGCTGCTGAGAAGTCCGCGTCGAAAGGTGGTCTTCGGGACGAAACATGAGAGGCGCCTGATCGACCTCGAAATCGCTAGAAGAACCATTGTCGGCTCCATCGCCGTCGCCGTCGGAGATTAACTCGGCCGCTCTTGCCCAAGAGCTCCCCGACATCGCCCCTGAGCTGCCTGAGCCTGAGCTCTGAGCTGAACTCTGAGCCCGCCTCGGAGTTGCGTCCGAAACGGCCCTCGGATCCTCGGAGTCACGCCCGAGCAACCTGAACGGCTTGAGCCAAAATGTCCACGCCACGGCCAGAGGGCGGGCCATAGGGTCGATACTGAAAAGAAGAGGGGCAGGAGAGGCGGCGTTCCACGAGCCGCGAACCAGAGGCTCGAGGTCTGGATGCATCAATTCTCAGGTCCTCCGAACGCCCCCCCCCCCCCTTGACGGTTCAAAGGAAGATGGAAGGGGGGTTGAGAGGACGACGCGTCTACAAGATAGGCTCTCCAGCCCCAGCCGCAACCACGGGGCACCCGGGGGCCCCTGGCCCCTGTCCCAAGGGCCGCCCCCTGACCCTCAACCCTGTCGACAATGACAAGTTAACCCACAATTGCGAATACAGAGACGCCCCGAAAATCCAACGGCTGTCAGATTGGGGCCTTGGCCCCGCCCCGTAACCCCTGAACCCCAAGTTGTTTGTTTTTTCTTCTTCGTTTTTTCCGAACTCGAACTGCGAATGCACCATTTGCCCAAGTACTCAAATGCCGAAGTCAGGAAGACCTCGTCTGAATTTAAGCCGCAAGCCTGCAAGCCTCGGGCCTGGGCCAACCGACCTTCGCGGCGGTCGAAAGCCGAACGGTTGCGAATGATAGGGGGCGCGCGCAATCGAATCGCACGACCTGGACAGCTACGGGGAGGGGTGCGAGGCGCGAGCGAGTTGGAAAAATAAGATGGAGGAAGAAAAGAAGGGCGGGCCTAAACCCCCGCCCCCTCGGAGAGCAGCCCTGCCCTGCCTCAGGCCTCCAGCAGGCCTCTCTGCTTGACGTAGCGGAGGTGGCCGCCCACGAGGCCCCACGCGCGCCGAGAGGGAGAGAGAAGAGGAGGGGGGGTGCGAAGCGCAGGGGAGCGCAGGACCGGGAAGAGAAGGAGAGAAGAGGAGGAGTGAGAAGTGAGGGGGGAGGAGGCGAGGAAGGACGCCTCAAATGCCCCAGGTTCGTCGCTGCAAGCACCACGCGGATCCAGGCGTCGGCGACGTCGCTCCCGAGGGTGGCCCAAGTGCTGTTGAATTTCGACCCGTCGCAGATCTCAGTCTCAAGGCCTAGCTTCTTGACGTAGCGAAGGTGCCCCCCCAAGAGCCCCCGCAGACGCCTCAAGGAGGGGTCAGAATGATCGACCGCCAGAGCGAAGGGAGGCAGCAGCGATAAGCGGAGCGGAGGAGAGGGGGAGGAGGAGGAGGAGGAGGAGGAGGAGAAGGAGGAGGAGGAGGAGGAGGATAATGGATGGAGCATGGGGGCAGGGGGAGGGGAGGAGGAGGAGGGGGAGGACGAGGTGGAGGAGGAGGGAGAAAAGGAGGAGGCGGAGGAGGAAGTGGGGGAGGAACGGGCTGAGCGCCCCATTGTCCATCAAGCAAGCCCCCCAACTGGGCCCTGGGCCCCTTCCACCCTCTTGACTCTCGACTTTTGAAGGGTCCTCTTGCGACCTGGGGCCCGGGGTCTCAAGACGCAGGACGCTCTCAGACTTAGGGCCTCGGGGAGAAGAGGGCGCTGAGAAAGAGGAGGAGGGCGGAGGAGCGCCTGACGTGGCCCAACCGCGCCGCGGACGCTGCCAACCTTGCCCACCACGACGCTATGCGTGGGATGGCCGCCGCCACTGGTACATCGGTCATCGCACTGCCGCGTTGACAAGTTTCGGGCGCTCAGGCTGACGGCGTCGCCTCCTCTTCGAACCGAACAGGGCCGGATGGGTGGAGAGGGGGGAGCCGCGGGTCAGAGTCTGGCTTCTGGCTGTCTGGCTGCGCCAGCATTGGGCATTGGCTGTTGGAGCAAGTTAGCTCGTTGGCACGCTGCGCCTCGCTGCCACATTGGGCCCCCCTGGGGTGGGGCCTCTGGGGACTTCGTTTCGAGGGCCCCCCTGGGGCCCCACAAGGCCCTTGGGCCTTAAGGCTTCGGGCGCTGAACGAATGGCGCGAAACCCGCCTAGAGTCAGGCCTAGGGCCTAGGGCCTAGGGCCTAGAGCGTTGAAGAGAGAGTTTCGAAGCAATCCCCGCTCGCCCCTCCCTTGGCCAATGCGGGCCCCCCCAGCCCTCTTCCCTCGTTCCCCCCCTCGGACCTGGGACCTGGGGTAGGGAATACGGTTAGGCGGTCCAGGCGCAAGCCGTAAGCCGAATCAAGCCGAATAGGTAATAGGTCATTCGCGCATTGCTTCTCCTCTCTCGGAGGTCAAGAAGACCTATCACCAGTCACTCTGAACTCGGACACGCGTCGCTCATGCGAACGCGCGAACGACGAACAGCAAGCGGCGAGAGCGGCAAACCTGCCCAAATCTGGAGCAGCAGAGGGGCAGTGGACCACGAGCTGGACTGCGCCACAGCCCTGCACAGGAGGCGCGGTGCACAAACAGAGGCAGGGGGGCGAAAGAGGTGCAGGAGGAGGGGGGGCCGGGGAGACTCCCCGCGCGGTGCCGGGCCCAAGGCCCGAGGCGAGACGGCGCGCACGCCTTCCCCCTGAGTCGGGGTGCCTGACGCGCGCGCAGCGTGCACGCAGACGCACGAGTGCACGCGCGCACGCTCGCAGTGACAGCCGACCGCCCACGCCTGGACGGCGCGGCCTGCTAAGATGAGCAGGGGGCCGCAGTTGGCCCAAGCCCAAGACCCAAGACCGATGCTCGGACTGAGACAGAAAAGGGAAGGATGCTGACGCCGCCGTGCGGCAACGAAAACGAAGAAACGCGAACGTCTGACGGAGGCCCCAGGCCTTGCGAACCATCTCGCACGCGACAATCAGCGAACATAAAATGACAGTAACAGTACCAGTAGAGATTCGATAAAGCCAGTGAACTGAGTCAATCCAAGTGGTCCAAGCGTGCAATCGATATCACTCGACTTCGTTTGGCTCAGCAAAGGGAGGGTCGCCAACTTTCGGGATCCCCTCAGGCCCACTTTCCAGCGCCCACAGAGAGCACGTAGTGCCAAGAAGAAGTCGGCGCGCATCTCGCCGATCTTGCACGCTCGGAATCCACGCCCTAGTGGCATGGAACTCGCGACTAGAATCGATGCCGGCCTGCAGCCACGCTACCAAGTGGCCGAGGGGGCGGCCCTGTCCAGCTTTAGAACCGAAGTTGAGCGTGCGGGTCCGCTTGCACCTTTTACCGTGCGCATCATTCTTGCAATGGGCATAAACGGTGTTGTCGCTGGCATCGTAAGCCAAGAACCCTCCGGGGAAATACCAGTGATCGGCTTTGCCCTTTGGGCCGCCGTGGACCAGCACCCCTACGGGGCCCAGGGGCGGAGGTGGTGGCGGAGGGGGTGGCGGCTCTGGAGGCTCTGGCCCTCCTGGCTCCGGCCCTGGAGGCCCTCCAGGCCCTCCAGGCTCTGGAGGAGGCGGCAACGGCCCTCCAGGCTCTGGCCCTGGAAGCCCTGGCTCTGGAGACTCTGGCCCTCCTGGCTCTGGCCCTGGAGGCCCTCCAGGCTCTGGCCCTGGCCCTGGAGGCTCTGGAGGCTCTGGCTCTGGAGGCTCTGGCCCTCCTGGCCCTGGCCCTGGAAGCCCTCCAGGCTCTGGCCCTGGAGGCCCTGAAGGCCCTGGCCCTGGAGGCTCTGGCCCTCCTGGCTCCGAGCCTCCAGGCTCCGGCCCTGGCTCCGGCAGCTCTGGCGGCGCTGGAGGCGCGGGCCCTCCAGCCGGCGGGCTGCCTGGCGGCGTCGGCGTGCCCCAATCGAAGTCCTCGCCGCCCGCGACGCCGCCGCCGCCGCCCGGGGCGCCTGCAGGAAGCAGGGGCGGGGCGCGGGGGGCGATAGAGGAACGAAGGGCGAGGTTGGGGCCCACAAGGGGCCTCGGAAGGGGGGAAGGGCAAGGGGGGAAGAGGAGAAAGGAACAGGAAAGTGGAGGAGGAAGGAGGACGAAGGAAAGGCGAGGGAGTAGGGAGTGGAAAGAGAGATAGAGAGATGGAATAAGGAACGACAGAGAAGGGGCGGGGTAAAGGAAGGATGGACAACAGCAACAAGAGTGGCAAGAGTCTTTAACAAGAGGCCTTCAAGAGGCACAGGTAGCACAGGCCCACAGGCTGGGGAAGAAGAAAGGAAAAGGGCGAAGGCGAAGGAAGGGGAGCAGCGGGGGCACGGGGGGAAGAGGAGGAACAATGTGATGCCCGTCTGTCTGGCCCGAGGGCCCGAAGGGCGCCTTCAGAGCCATCGTCGCTACGACCGTCCAGACCGTCGATGCTGAATCCGTCCTCGCTGTCAGCTGAGCCCTCGCCATCGAAGAGCTCATCATCGTGCGGCTCTTCTTGAATACCCTCGACATCGCCGTCCACATACTCACCTACTCCTGCTAGCCAAGCATCGACAAGTTCGCCGGCGTGGTGGCCCTCCTCGTCCTCGGCGCCTCTGGGCCCCCCCCTTTGAAGCTGCGCCCCATCCCCCCCCTCAAGTTAAGCCTCTCTCGGCTCCGGGGCTGGCCCGTCTCGGGGCGCCTTTCGAAGGCCGTCTCGGGCCTTGGGCCTCGGAGGGCCTCGCAAGCGAGAGTCTAGATAAAGATTTAATCCGCGAGGGAGCGAGTGGCGATTTAGGTGGAGATCCCAGGAGAGGAGGAGGAGGGGGAGGAGGAGGAGGAGGCAGAGGGCCGGGTAGCCGGGTAGAGAAGAGGAGGACAGAGGGATGGAGGCGAAGGCTTCGAAGGCGAAGGCGAAGGCAAGGGAGGGAGGGGATGCAGGGCCAGGGGCCACGGAGGGAGGGGGGGACAAGGAGTGAAGGGAGGCGGGGAAACCCGACGCCCGTCCCAAACGGGGCCAGGGCTGGAGGACCTCACCGACCCTGAATTGGCACAGGCCAGCAGAGGCCAGAGGCCGTTCGTTGGGATCGGGAGCCACAGAACAAGGGCCGGAGCAGGAGGACCTCACCCTGAATTGGGGCGTCCCAAAAGGCCAAACCCTCGGTCAACGCCCACCCCGAACGCGGCCAGGGC